CCAATTTTTCCAACACCATTTGTTAAACAGGCTGTCTTTCTTCTAGTGAACATGTTTGGCCCTTTGTCAAAGATAAGGTGGCTAAGTGTGTTTGTAGTTGTGGCTGCATCTTCTAATCTGTTCCATTAATCCTCAAGTATTTTTTTTTCCCTTGCCATTACCATGCTGATTTTATCACAGTAGCTTTGTACCGTAATTTCAAATCAGGGATTGTAATTCCTCCTGCCTTGCCTTTGTTGGCCAGGGTTACATTTGCTATGCTAGATCTTTTCTGGTTCCAAATGAATTTTAGGAATTTTTTCTTTAGATCTGTGAAGTATGCTGATGGCATTTTTGATAGGGATTGCATTAAATCTGTATAACAATTTTGGGAGTATGACCTTTTTCACAATATTGGTTCTTCCTATCCAAGAGCAATGAATATATTTCCATTTCTGACATTCTCTTTGATCTTTTTTTTCAGAGTACTGTAATTTTCATTTTATAGATTTTTTATTTTGTTAGATTAATTCCTAAGTTTTTGTTTGGATGATATCGTGAAGGGTGTTGTTTCTTTAATTTCTCTCTCAGTGAGTTTGTTGTTTGTATAGAGGTATGCTATTGGTCTTTGGGTGTTGGCTTTGTATCCTGCTGTGCTACTGAATTTGTTTATTATAAATTCTAGGAGTTTCTTGGTGGAGCTTTTTTGGTCTTCCATGTAGAGTATCATGTCATCCGTGAATAATTATAGTTTAAGGGCTAGCCAAATAGCTCAGCAGATTAAAGTGCCTGCAAGCAGGTGCAGGGGCTGGAGATTCAATCCCTGTGCCTGCCATGCCAGCCCTACCCCCTAGGGTGCACTGAGATGGCAGTTGAGACTAGTCATGGTGGCGTGTGCCTGTAATCCCAGCTCTTGGGTGGCTGTAAACAGGCGGATCACTATGAGTCTGATCTAGTAGTGAGACCCTGAACACTCTGTAGACACTTCCCTAAAACATATATAAAAAAAGAAATATAATTTCTTCCTTCCCAATTCTTATTTTTATTGTTCTTTCTTGTCTTATGGCTCTGGCTAATTTTTCCAGAACTGTGTTGAATAGGAGTGCTGATTGCTGATAGTGAACATCCTTGTCCATTATCCTGATTTTAGAATACAAACTTTAAGTTTTTGTCCACTTAGAATGATATTGACTGTTGGTTTGTCATAGATGGATTTTATCAGACTTAAGATATAGTCCATCTATTGTAATTTTTTGTAGGGTTTTTGTCATGAATGAGTGTTGGACTTTGTCCAAAGCTTTTTCTGTGTCTATTAAGATGATCATGTGGTTTTTGTTTTTGGCTCTGTTGATATGGTGTGTTACATTTATAGATTTGCATATGTTGAATCATCCCTACATCCCTCAGATGAATCCCACCTGATCATGGTGTATAATCTTCCTGATGATTTGTTGCATTCTATTTGCTAGTATTTTATTGAGGATTTTTGCATCTGTGTTCATGAGGGAGATTGGCCTGTAGTTCTGTTTTTGGTTGAGTCTTTGTCTGATTTGGGTATCAGCTTAATATTTGCTTTGAGAAATGAATTAGGGAAAATTTCTTCCTTTTCAATTTTATTGAAGAGTTTGAGGAGTATTGGGATTAAGTCTTCTCCAGATTTCTTGTAGAATTCAGCTGTGAATCCATTAGGACCTAGGCTTTTCTTTGTTGGTACATTTTCAGTTTCATTGACTGATACAGGTTTATTCAGAATTTTTATATCTTCTTGATTCAGTTTTAGTAACTCATACATATCTAGGAATCTGTCCATTTTGCCTGTTTTCCATCTTGTGAGAGTAAAGATTTTCTAAGTAGGTATTGATGATCTTCTGAATTTCAACAGGATTTGTAGTAACTTTATTCTTTATTGCTTAAATTTGAATTTGTTCATTCCTTTTTTGATGAAGTTGGCTAGGGATTTATCAATTTTATTTATCCTTTCAAAACAATAATTCTTTGATTCATTGATTCTTTTGTATTGTTTTCTTTGTCATTTGCATTAATTGTGTTAATTTCTGCTCTCATCTTTATAGTTTCTTGCCTTCTTTGGGCTTTGGGCTTGATTTGCTCTGCTTTATCAAGAAACTTGAGGTGCAGCATTAGGATATTTATTTGTTCTCATTCCTGATGTGTGAATTCACTGATATAAATTTCCTTCTGAGAACTGCTTTCATTGCCTCCCACAAATTCCAGTAGGTTGTGTTTGAATTTTCATTGGATTATAGATATTTAGTTTCTTGCTTAATTTCATCTGTGAGCCATTGATTGCTGAGGAGGGTTTTGCTTAATTTCAATGTGTTTATGGGATTTTAAAAATTTTTCTTTTATTGTTGATGGGATTTTTGCAGTTTCTTTTGTCATTAATTTCCAATTTCATTGTGCTACGGTCAAATAACATGCATGGGATAATTTCAGTTTTCTTGCATTTACTTAAACATGATCTATGGACTAGTTTGTAGTCTTATTTTAGGGAATGTTCCATGTGAAACTGAAAAGAATATGTATTCAGATGCTGTTGGGTGGAACACTCTGTGAATGTCCAGTAAGTTAATTTGTTCAAAGGTTTGATTCAGTTCTGCTTCCTCTTTGCTGATTTCTTTTGTGTTGTTGACCTGTCTCTTTGAGATAATGGGGTGTTAAGGTCGCGTGTTATGGTTGTGTTAGTGGTTATTCGATTTTTTATGTTGTTTAGAATTTGTCTTATATACTTGGGTGCACCTATATTTGGTGAATATATATTTATGATTGTTATTTTTTCCTCTTGAAGTTTTCCCATAACCAGTGTGTAGCGACCTTCCTTATCTGGTTTGATCTTTCTTGGTTTGAAGTTCACATTGTCTGTGAACAGAATAGCTTTTCCTGCTTTTTTTTTTTTTTTTTTTTTTTTAATTCCTGGTGTATGGAGTATTGTTTTGCATCCTTTGACTTTCAGCCTATGAATATCCTTTTGAGTTAAATGTGTATCTTGTACAGCATATTGTGGATTTTGTTTCTTGATCCGTTCTACCAGCCTATTTCTTTCAATTGGTGAATTGAGACCATTTACTTTGGTGGTTATAATTGATATGTATTAGCTTATCTTTGTCATGTTATCTTCCTGCTTGTGTTTTATTGGTTGTCCTGTTTAGTGGTTTTTTTTCTGCTGTTGTCCTTGGGATTGTCATTTTGATCTTTTTCTAGAATATCTTTCAGTACTCTTTGTAGGGTTGGTTTGGTGATCATGAATTTTTCTAGTTGTTCTTTATCATGAAAGTATTTTACCTTTTCATTAATTCTGAAAGAGAGTTTTGCAGGGTATATCAGTTTTGCCTGGAAGCTGTTTTCTTTTAGAAGTTGAAATACTTCACTCCAAGCTCTTCTTGTGTTAATGTTTTGTGTTGAGAAATTGGCTGTGATTCTCATGGGCTTTCTTTTAAATGTTACTTGTTCTTGTGCTAAATTTCTGGGATCTTGATTATGTCTGGATATAGATTTATTTTGATGCTGTTTGGAGCTGTTTATTCCTCACCTTCTTGTATTTCATATTCTTTTCCCATGCTTGTAAAGATTTCTGCTATTCTGCAAATAGTCTTTTTATGTCAGTTGTGTTGATTCTTTTTCATTGACACCTATTAGTCTTATGTTTTTCATCTTTCTGTCATGTTGTAGCTGTTGAATTATTATTTCCTGGTTCCTTTTTGCTTTTAAGAGATCTTTCCTTTCCTGGTCTTTAGCTGCAATGATATGTTCAAGGTCTGAAAGTATATCTTCATTTTCATTCAAATGGTTTTGCCAGCTTTTAATGGAATTTTTAATTTCCTGGGTATCTCTGTGAATCTGTTTCCGGCATTCTGTTTCTTTTCTATATTGTTCATTCACAGTTTCTATCATTTTTATGTGTTCCTCTTTTTTTTTTTAAATCAATGCCTTTTTTAGATATGCTCAGCATTTCTTTCCTTGTAGTTATCATTTCTTTTTTTTTTTTTTTTAACCTGAGAGATTATTTCTGATCTGATTTCCTCTACATCCATTTGGAGTTGTTTATTTTAATTTAATTTAATTTTTTTTTTTAATTTGGTGGAACTGGGGATTGAACTCAGGCCCTTGCACTTGCCAGGGAAGCGCTTATTCCACTGAACCATCTCCCCGGCCCCTGGAGTTGTTTATTACTTCAGTTGCAGTCATTTTTCAGAGATTTCAAGGTTACTTCCAATTTATTCTATGCTGATGTCTCCTGGATTTGTTCTGGCTAGGCTGGGGGGCCTGTGTTTGTATTTTCTGTACACGTCTGTGTGGAGAGTGGTCCAGGCACCTGGATCCATCCCAGCAGGCTAGTCTCCTGAATTCCACTCATCTCCATTGCATGATTTTCTTTGTCCATTTTTCTGTGTGTGTGTGGTTTTTGTTTTTTTGTACCGGGGATTGAACTCAAGACCCTGCACTTGCCAGGCAAGCACTTATTTTATTGAGCTATCTCCCCAGGTCCCATTTTTCTGTGGAGGTTATAATTTTCTTATCAATTTTAAGAAACTTTACTAGCATACATCTTTATTGACAGGTCCTTTATTGGTGATACTTTCTGTTAAATATTTTTGAAGTTAATTTCTTGACTTTTTCTTTATGAGTCTGGCTTTTGTTGTGCTGTAGTCCATTTTATTTGCTTCCAGTTTTGTGATGCAAGAATTTAGGCAGGACCTGGCCAGACGGTTCTTTTGCTACATGTAGTACCTGGGGTCACTTGAACTGGATTGGACTAGCAATGGGGCTGGCCTGAAGATCACACGGAGTTCCTTATGTCTGGGGCCTTAGTGTTACCCAAAGTGCCCCATCTCTTTCTCCATATGGTCAACTTGAACATAAGCAATGGCAGGGACCCTAAGGTTGGCAGGTGGGTTGTGTTAGAACAGCTGGAATGTCAGATTCTAGCTGACTCAAGTCATAGTTTTGAGCTATGACTTATCTGCCTAATTTTTCCCCTTCTTTCACCTCTTCTACTTTCTCAGGACTCTTTCCTTCCTCAAGAGATTATCATCAAGGTGGAGGGAGAAGATGGTGGGCTACTGGCCACCCCATCCAAGGTGAGTCAGCCAGGGCTTCTTTTTTTTATATTGAAAAATGTGCTTGACTAGTCAGTGGAAGAAGCTGGAAGAGCTTGGAAGTGATTTGAAAGTAGAAAGTGAGGAAATGGAGATGACACTGGGCAGATTTCCAAGAGACCTGATTATTGTTTGAAAGATCAAAAGAGAAAGAACTTGAAGGATGTTTGAGATTAAAGACTGGTCTTTATTTTCTTAAGGATTGAAAAGATTTGAATCTACTTAAGCAATGAGAGGAAGGAGTTAGTGAACAAAAAGAAGTTAATCAGTTGACAGGAGAAATAAAGGCAATAAACAATACAAAGTCTGACTGGTATCAGAAAAAGTTCAGTAAATCTGTGACTAAATTGAGTCTTAAGTGGGGAACATTCCTACTGGAAGAATGAATGTGAGAGAGATGTGATTTTGAAATTGGTTTTAGTCTGTGAAGATCAGGTGAGGGTGAGGATGAGAATTAGAGTGAAGAAAGCACAAAACTTGTCCTCATAGATATAAGAGAGTTTCTGGGTGGTCCAGAAGTATCATTAGAAGACAGTGATTCTTAATTTATAATATTCTGTTAAACTGCACTTTTGGCTTTTTTCTCAATGTCATATATACACCTTGACCAGAATCTTTTGGCTACTGTCAGTCTCTTCATGCCATTGGATTTTTCTACTTCCATATGTCACACATTTTCCTTCATAATCATTAAAGTGAAATAATGTCCACCTGAGCTTGAATGTGTGCTCTGTCTTAGGAGGGAATAAATTTCAAAATTGTGACTGTGGACTTCACTCATGAGGATCACGGGACTTGGAATCCTGCTCTAAGGACTCCAGACAGAGGTGTGACCCTGGAGAACCACACAGACCTGATCTCTTGCAGTAAATGTATCATCCCACATAGTGAAGGTATATCTATTGAAATGTGTTCATATCTCCTTTAAGAGCTATGGAGTTTGGCAACCAAGATGATTTTTACCACATATGCCTTGTGAAGATTAACTTTGAATTATCAGGTAGAATAGGTAAAATTTCTTTGACTTGAGCTTATTCAGTCTTTATGGCTTCTAAAAGTCAAAGCCTAAATCAAACTCTGCAGTAATTTCTTTTGTCCGTAGCCCAAACACCCAAAGTCCAGTATCTTTCTTCATAAGCTTTTTAAACTAGATATAATCTTATAGTTGGAGAAAGGGAAAAGACTATAAGAAGAACTTCCCGTTGTTTATTTCCAGTTAGGAACCAGACACACGGGGGTCATTATAGGTACAAAAGTTTTGTTTGAATATCCTATAGGAGAATGCCACATTTTCTTCACCTCCTTGTCACTACTTTTCCAATTGTATACTTTATGGGATTTTCTATTAGCCAGTTAGACTTATTCTTCTGAGCAAACCTCCATTCTCAGTTGAAATCACAGGTATTCATGAGGCCATATTAGCCTGAGTTATTTAGGGTACTATGATAATTGTCCCTCTTTCCATACTTGGATTTGTAAATTTCCCTTTGATTTGTAAATGTAGTTTGTTCACATCTTGTTCATACAGACTGTTATAGCAAGTTTTATGCCTCTGTACATTGTTAGAACTATAGCCACTGACCTATTTTAGGGAACATATATGTAGCACCAATAAGGGTGGAAGGGTCCTTCTATTTCTTTGCTAAGTATTTTAAGATTGTATTAAGAATCTGTAAATGCTAGCTGCTTGGCATTCAAAATCTTATTTCTCAGATTAATATTATCCTTCAATTATTGTAGACTGATCATGTCCACCATCTCCCAAATGAGTGGACAGCAAAGGCTAAAAAAAAAGACAAATGGTATGATTTCAGGGTTCCAGGGAGATCAAAACCCTCTTACAGAATTTGAGAGTCTCTGGGGGCTAAGACCAAGATGTTCTCTGGGTGCCCTCTATTTAGTTATCAGAACAAGGGAGAAGAATATTCAGGAAGGGCGGGTACTTCTCAAGGACTTCTCCAGGTAAGGCATTATGTTACTTGAGGAGAGTTATGTTAATTCCATAACCAGACGTGCTGGAGGCTATAGTCTTTATCTAGTTGAGGTTTGAGCCAGATGTCCTTATCTGTGAACTTATTCTTTGAGGCTTCACAACTTCACCAGCCATTATAGGTCTCAGTAGGGATCAGTGACTCACAGAGGTTCACTTACAATGAGTCTGCCGCCCATCTCCAGACAAGGGGACTAGGCTTTGGACAGACTGCCAAGTAAACATGGAAGGCAAGTTGGTAATTTAAGTCTGCCTAGGGCTGCTTTGTAGTGTTCTCCATCACTTATTCAAACAAAAATAAGATGAAAAAAATAATTACAGTTGAATGCCTTGTTACGTTGTTAGGTTGTGGTAGTTTTGTACTTACTGCTTATTCCTATTCTTTTGTTTTCTCAGCTCAGGTAGTATAGATCCATAGCTGAAAGCAACTCCATGTATTATGCATTCTTGTGAAGTTTATTCCAATACATGATGCCTTAATTTGCTTTTGTCCAGACCTGACAACTGCATTTGGAAGAAGAGACTCAACCTTAAAGCAGAGCAGTTTTGATGAAGAATTCTTGCATGGAGTGAAGATAGAAAAGTTGACAAGAGATGATCCTTGGCTGTCTTCATGTGAAGACTTTCATGGAAAAAAGGACAAGTTAGAGAAGCAACAGGAGAAACAAGAGAGATTTTTGGAGGAAGTGACATTCGCTCAAAGGAAAGCAGTTATTCATGAGAGAGTCTGTGAAAGTGATGAACTTGAGAAGAGTGCTATTAATTCCAGTATTCTTTCACTTCCCATGATACCCATTAAAAACCACTTTCATAAACATATTTCACATGTTAAAAAGTTGTGTCCTGATTCACTTGTAAACAGTCTTCAGAAGATTAGTGATAGTGACAGACTATGTGAAAAGAATGAATGTGGAAAACTCCCTCAGGCCATACATCTGTTTCAGTTTACAAGAACTCAAAAAAGAGACAAATCTTATGAATTTAGTGACAGTAGTAAGCCTTTTAGCCATGCTACACCCATAAGCACAAATGAGAAAATTTACTCAGGTGGTAAAACCTTTGATTTTAAGGACTGTGGACAAGTTTTGAATGGTGTGGTGTCCTTTAATGAGCAACAGAGAATTTCTCTTGAAGAGAGTCAATATAAATGTAGTAAAATATCTCAGAATCCATCCATTGCTCAAAACATGAGAAATCAGTCTGAAGAGAAACCCTTTGAATGTAACCAGTGTGGGAAATGCTTTAGCTGGAGTTCACATCTTATTGCTCATCAGAGAACACATACAGGGGAAAAACCTTATGAATGTAATGAATGTGGAAAATCCTTCAGTCGGAGCTCACACCTTGTTTCCCACCAGAGAACTCATACAGGAGAGAAACCGTACAGATGTAATCAATGTGGGAAGTCCTTTAGCCAGAGCTACGTCCTCGTTGTGCACCAGAGAACTCACACTGGTGAGAAGCCTTATGAATGTAGCCAGTGTGGAAAGTCATTCAGGCAGAGCTACAAACTTATTGCACATCAAAGAACTCATACCGGAGAGAAGCCCTATGAGTGCAGTCAGTGTGGGAAATCATTTATCCAGAGTTACAAACTTATTGCACATCAAAGAATTCATACTGGAGAAAAACCTTATGAGTGCAATCAGTGTGGGAAATCCTTTAGTCAAAGCTATAAACTTGTTGCTCACCAGAGAACTCACACTGGGGAAAAGCCCTTTGAATGTAATCAATGTGGAAAATCTTTCAGCTGGAGCTCTCAGCTGGTGGCACATCAACGAACTCACACTGGAGAGAAACCATATGAATGCAATGAATGTGGAAAATCTTTCAACCGCAGTTCTCACCTTGTTATGCATCAGAGAACTCATACCGGAGAAAAGCCTTATGCATGTAATCAGTGTGGAAAGTCCTTCAGCCAAAGTTATGTTCTTGTTGTACATCAGAGAACTCATACTGGCGAAAAGCCCTATGAATGCAGTCAGTGTGGAAAATCCTTTAGGCAGAGTTCATGCCTTACTCAACACCAGAGGACTCATACTGGAGAGAAGCCTTATGAATGTAATCAGTGTGGAAAGACATTCAGCTTGAGTGCTCGACTCATAGTACATCAAAGAACGCACACTGGAGAAAAACCCTTTACATGTAATCAGTGTGGGAAAGCTTTCATTAATAGCTCTAAGCTTCTTAGGCATCAGGCAACCCACAATGAAGAGAAACCACATGAATATAGGTAGTCTAAATCTTCAAGCCAGAATTCCTTTTGAGTGTAATCTTTTTATTACACTCAAAAGGTGTGTTTATTTTGATGGAATATGTTTAGTGTGAAGTTTTGGTAATGCATGTAGACAAACTTAGCCTGTTTGTTACTATGTATTTAGAATTTTGAAAGAAAAGGGGAAAAATCTATGAGCTGCAGATTTTTAACTCAGTAGTTATACATGCAAAATAAAATTTAGCCTTGCAAGCATTCTTTTTTTTTTTTTTTTTAAATCTTTATTATTGTGTGTGTGTGTGTGTGTGTGTGTGTGGCCAGCTCAGCCCACCAGGGGGGTGGGGCTGGCTGGCATGTGGTGCTGGGGGATTGAACCGCGGTCCCTGTGCTTTGCTTAGCCTAGCTTGTTCTAAGTAGGTGCTTTAGACCACTGAGCCATCTCACCAGCTCGCAAGCATTCTTTATAGGTGATTTTCTTTGCAGAAAGCACTCAATCGTGAGTTGGAGAGAAAACCAGTGAGATGTTAATCTCTTCCCAAAGAAACACCCAAGAGGCTAACACTGGTGGGCTTATAGAGAAGATAGAAAGATTTTTGTAATGTTCAGAATTTAGGCTAAAAAACAGTGTTACTGTGTATCATTCTCTGCATGATTTCCCCATTAGGTAGTTTACAGTCTACCTTTTAAAATAGCACTTTCTGTTATAAAGTCATGATTTTTAGAGAAGAAAAGAAAAATGGCTATGATACAAAATGAAAAATGAAAGAGAAAATAGAGAAATATTTTCTAGAACTACTGTATTTGTATATGGATTGACTTTAAAAGATGATGTATGTATCCATCTGATACTTTGCTTTATGTCTGTATGCTGTTTTACTGTAATAAATGATATAAAGAGTAAAAATTAGTTAAACCCAAAGCTATTTTTTCTAGTTTGTTTAACCTCATCAAGCAGCAAAGGTTTCCAAGGGTTCTTTTTCTTGAGAGAGTATCGTACTCTGTGGCTCAGACTGGCCTTGAACTCACTATGTCTGAGGCTGGCCTTGAACTTTCAGTGATCATTTTGCCTCAACCTTCTAAATGCTGGGATTACAGGCATGCACCACAACTCCTGGCTTCACCCAGGCATTTCCATTTGGCCTAGCTGGCCTTCCCTTAGGGCTTAGATTCTTAAGAATTACCTATAGAAAGTAAAATAGTTCCTTGGAAGTGGGTAACTAAAATTTAAACTAGAAAGGGTTGTGATGAGGATATGAGAGTGCATGGATAGTATAGATGATGTAAGGGTTTGCTTTAATATGTGTAAAGTATAAAGAAGCACTATTTCCAAGAAAGTTTTTATCTCATGAGCTATTGTCCTTATTCTCTGTGATATATTCCCTAATGTGAGAGCCTTTGGTGGGGCTGTGTTGTTCTGGTTAAGTATTCTTCACCTCAAGCTTGCAAGCAACTCTTTGGTGTGATAAGTTTTTTAGCTGTTGATTTTTAAGACTTGATTCAAATGTCTTTCTGGTGTTCTTCTTACCATCCTGTGAAATATTGTGCTAGAAAGGTATTAAAAAAAATATGTCGAGTTGAACTGAGAGAGCAGAGGATAGAGGTGTATCTCCTGGAGAAGGGAAGGAAAACCCAGAATGACTTCTGACAGACTTTTGATAAAATTCCATTCCCTCAAGATTATCTAGAAGAACTCTGTCCTTCAGAATTAAGCCCCATAGTTTAGCACACTTAGCAATGACAGGGGGCCAAGGAGAACAGTTGTTGATTTTTGTCTCTTTTGTGTTTTATTTATTTATTTTTTGTGACAGGGTCTTACTATGCAGGCCAGACTAGCCTTGAGCTCACTTTGTATCCCAGACTGGTCTTGAACTTGCAATAATCCTCCTGTCTCAGCTTCTCTGCTGGGATTACAGGTGTGTGCCACCACCTTCTCCTATAATTGTTGATGCCTAGAAAACTTGTTCCCACCCAGCATTGTCTTTCCCCAGCCCATCAGTGCACAAATAACAAGTGGCAAGGGTTTCCCATATGCTAGTTTTTGCAGAGGGCTTGAAATTGTGGAAAATGCTTGTTTAACAATGGAATCTACATAAATTTCCTCAATGGTATACATAAAATTAATGTAAGTGCTTGATATAAGTTAGATGATTTTCACTGGTAGTTTGAATCTTTCTTTGAAGATAGAATGAAGATTATACGAGTGAATATAAAGTCAAGTAGGCTAAAAATTGGGCTTTGAACTTTTTAATATTTTGGAATAATTTTATTCGTATGGAATTTCTTGAATAAATATTACAAGTACTTCATTGAAAATGTGAAACTGCAAACAAATAGTGTCCTCTGTGTGTGTGTGTGTGTGTGTGTGTGTGTGTGTCTACCTTGCTAGGTTGATTATCAAGTGTGTGTACCCCAAGTGTATCCACACCTGGGTAGTGAGTTATGGTTGCCAGGTGTTTTGAAATAAAACAAATTTGCTAATAAAAAGTTGATTTCTATCATATTTTCAGTATTTTCCCTTTCAAGAAAAAAGGTGTAATTACCAAATGGTCAACCGAAGTAAGTACTAACATGACAAAAATATTTAATTAAACTTCTTAAAATTTAGTACTAAACTGAGAACCAATAACTTCATTTTAATGACATGTATGAATATATACATAGAGCATTCCTAATCCAAAAATCTGAAATCCTCAAATGCTCCCAAATCCAAAACTTTGAATGCTGACATGATGCTACAAGTAGAAAATTCAATGCCTTATATTTTATGACAATACAGTCAAAGTGTAGGTATACTTAAAATATTGTAGCTGGGCATAGTAGCACACACCTGTAATCTCAGTACTCAGGAGGCTGAGGCAGGAGGATCGTTGCAAGTGAGCTACACTCAGGCTACATGTGTAAGGTATATATGAAACATAAATGAATTTTGTATTTAGGCATGTCCCATCACCAGAACACTTAATAAATATCCAAATTTCCAAAACCTACAATAATACTGAATTTCAAAATACTTCTGGTCCCAAGCATTTTGGAAAACAATTATTCAAACCATATGTGTGCATTTTATAGGCCAGATTTGTTTCACTGCACTTCAGTGAATTTATAATTACAACTGAACAAAATGTTTTTAATACCTTGATCTTAAAAAATACTCTAGGGCTGGTGAGATGGCTCAGTGGTCTAAGGCACCTACTTAGAACAAACTAAGCTAAACAAAGCACAGGGACCGCGGTTCAATCCCCCAGCACCACATGCCAGCCAGCCCCGCCCCCTGGTGGGCTGAGCTGGCCACACACACACACACACACACACACACACACACAAATAAATGAATTAAATAAATAAATAAAATGTTAAAAAAAATACTCTAGAACCTGTTTGTCAAAAAGTAAATCCATAATAAATTTTAAAACTGTCTAGGAACCAGGTGGGTGATCCTAACTCTTAAGTACACACTCTTGTTTTGTATTTGATTTTTCCATATTTTTCTCCACCATAACTTTCTCTGGGATAATGAGACTATGCTATTCCTACAAGACATTTTGTGGCAATCCTAAATTTTTATTTATTTACTTGGTACAAGGTCTCACTATGCAGCTTGTACTCATAGTGATCTTCCTGTCTCAGCCTCCCCGATGCTGAGATTACAGGAGTACACCACCACACCCAATTTCAGTGGCCAGCACAAAGCACCTGGTTTCAGGGCCAGCATGGCATGTGGTCCTGGGGATCAGACATGGGTTCTTGTGCTTAGACCTTTGAGCCATCTCCCCAGCCCAATCCTAAACTTTCTGTGTAAGAAAGTTTATATTTCTGAATTTTCTGTACTTTAAAAAGATGTTATGAACATGCCATTAATCCATTAATCTGATTTGGCAGCTTATTTAACTTTTTTTTTTTTTTTTTGGCAGAACTGGGGATTGAACTCAGACCCTTGCCCTTTGCGCTTCCCAGGGAAGCGCTTATTGAGCTTACTGAGCCATCTCCCTGGCCCCTGGTAGCTTATTTAAAATAATGTGTAGATGTGATTATAAGTGGAATGTGCTGAAATTTTAGTATTGGATATTAGGTTTAAAAACAATGAAGGAGATCAGGGGAAATTTTTTCTCTGATGAAATCCCAAGTCCATGTCTATATTCTCTGATCAGAATCTTCTATACTAATTGTGAAAAGGAAATTAAAAATTTTAAAATAAAAGCCTCCCAAGAAAGAGACCAAGAATGCCTGCCAAAACCTAGAAGACATGTCCAGGTAAGCCTGATAACAGAATATTCCTTTGTATAATAACTTTTTAGTGCCTCTACATAACTGATGGCCTTGTAGTTTAATTTGAGATTCTTTACCACCTTTGTATAACTGATGGCCTTAGAGTGCAAGTTGAGATACTTAAACTCCCTTAGCAAGCCATGATGTCACCCAACCCTCCAGTCACAAGGTATCAAACCTGCCTTTGTACCTCCCCACTTGCTTTCCCTATGAAAACCCCTAAACCTTTCTGGGTGGGTCTCTGACTGTTTGGTAGAGATCCCATTCAGTCAGGTGTAATAAACTGCCTCCTACAACTCCTTGGTGTTGTTTCTTCCTGTGTTTGGTCTGTTTTCCATAACAATTGTGTAGTGTTTCCATTATTGATGGAAATAAATACTCTCTGATTTACTTATTACTTGTATGTTGCACTAAAGTAGAAGACATGGAGATCTCTTTTTATAACCTCATGGTTTAACCAGATGTTGATAGTTTTGCTTATCTAGATCTGCAAATAAAGGCAGTCAAGTCCCACATGTGCCCCCAAGAATTTCGGCACCCAGTCACCATAGCATGCTGTGTGGTGCAGCCTCTACCTTTGTATGAGTGCCCAGTGTGCAATTATAGATCATATATCCACATGGGGAGATAGGATGACACTGTGTTTGGGACATTTTTTTTTGCTAATTCTCAGTAAATTGCATTTTTTAATGTACAAGGAAACAAATTTCTTGCTTTAAAACATATATTTGTTTTTTTGTGATTATTTATGAAACATTCTAATGAATCAAATGGAATTTTAAAATTTTGAGAAGGTGGAACCTGGGTTACTGCTATAGTTAAACAGCAAACTATAGTATCAGTTTGTGCCCTGTCAAACCAGCTAGGCCCCTGGTACATGGTGAGACTGTTAGTTGTCAAATAACATGGGGCTGGGGTCTTTGGCTAGTGGCCTAACA